CTGTCCAGGAAAGAGCGTACACAAAATGACGCGTACTGTCCAACGCTGTCCAGTTACAAGCATGAGGCATACACTGTCCTTTTTGGGCTAAAATTGGGCGCGTTGATAGCCAATCAGATTCGCGAATTTTGTTATAGTTCTGATTAAATAGATCACTGAAGTATTCCATTCGTGCTTCCACCCACCCACTTACCAATCCATCGATTGAATCAATAGTTTCAGAGTTCGTGGACAGGCCAGCATTGTTTGTTGGACCAATTACGAGAGACCCATGTAGACGGACAGTTGAATAGAATTAGCAACAACAACAAAACATTGTCTTGCAAGGTGACAAGCTGACTTTTTTCCAGGTATCTTGTCTTGGAAGATTCACTGTGCTAGTGCCACCAGCAGAAATTCAGATCCCCAAGAAGAAAGAGAAAAGGTGAACAGATACATGGAACAGAAGATTGATGAGGTGAAGGGAGTATTCGATCTCTCTTCGTTTACAGGGTTACGTCGTCTGCATGCGTACCTAGTAGGAGAGCTTCACCTGATGAATGTTAACTATACGACGGGTAGCATCAAAATAACCGTCAAGTGCCGTACCCTTAAGATTCTTGAAGGCCTGTGGGATGACTATTGTTCTGGCCACCTAAACGCTGTAGCCGAGGAGTGCCTCATTACAGAGACGGTTAAGGACGAGCTTAGTATGGAGACTATAAAGTTAGCAACCACTCTGCTGGAAGAGGACTACTTGGCATGCAAATTGTCTTTAATGGAAATCTCAGGTACGTTTTATTGTTTTCAACTCTTAGAATGATGTTATTATCAATAGTGTTTATTTTTTTCATCGAATTGAGGTCCTTATGAATGAACAAACACAAACACAGTCAGCCATGCATTACAGCTTACATGTAGGTTTACGTACCGGTCATCTCCTTGTGTTTAATTTGTTTCAGCATTTGCGTCATTTTCATGTGATGATCTCTCGTCACTAGTCTTAACATTTGGATTAGTAGGCTGTTTGCAAAGGCTGCGAAATAAACAAAAATAGGAAAAGATCGCTAAATTCGTAAGGAAGTCCCTACCGGCATCCACGAAAATTACGAAAGTTGCAAAAAATACAGAAATCGCGAAAACTCTACGAAAATCGAAAATTTAATTTAAAAGTTTAAAAAGAAATCTCCGAAAATTACAAATTTTACGGAAACTGAGAAATTGCAATAATTCCCGTTAACACCGAATTAAAGTAATCCACTAAAATTACGAATCATACCAAGTTTACCGTAAATTCAAATGACTTCAAGCCCAAATGGCCGCCCAAAAGACTAAGAACGTCCAGTCTCGATCGGTCGGAGATTAGACGTTCTACAGATTGTGCTCCAATGAAAGATATATTTAAAGCGCATTGTCTGTCTTTGTCTCTAGCCCAAGTGGTTATTCCAGGCAGTCAATGTTCTTTTTAATATTAGCATTCTTTTCCTTAAAATGTAACTATTTTATTCAAGTAAAGCAAGGCATTTGGGCATTCCTCCCTTTTAAATCAATGCTTGCACCAACGTAGACTTTTCAAACACGACTTATTTTGAATGAACTGATTTCGAACTTGTCTCAGTTGTGGCAGTGAGGTCGTTCGAGCGTTATAAAATCGAGCTTGAAGTGGGGGTAAAGTTTGATGTTCCTAATGTATTTTTGTGTAAACAATGTGTAACCGTTAAAAAAGTTTTAACCAAGTTTTTTGTCCATATTTTTTGCTGTCTTTGGCCGAAAATCTTTTGGGTCGTGTTCTATTCTGTGTTGAACGTTTTAAAGGCCCTGAAACAATAAGTTTTTTATACCGAGATGCCTACAAAACTGATAGCCAAATCTTGACTAATAAACGTTCAGCATTAATGCCATTCAACATGCGAAATATTACCCTAATGTATAGCGAAAAGCGCAAAGTATAAAATTTTGTGTTCCCATAAAGTGAAATGCTAATCACGGTGTGATGACCGGTCATTTTTCTGTGTCGTTTTATGGATTATTTTAAAAAACCAAACTCCACTTGGTACGTACGTTATGCTACAACTGAAAAATTAAGAGTAAAATAGCTTTGTAACTTATAAATTTGGCCATGGCTTCTTTGATTCACTATATTTACCTCTGTTTCGCCATGTGACAAATATGGCCGTTATTCAAGCTGATAACTTGAAAAAATCCAATAAAGTAATTTTGGGAATACCAGACCCTTGACCCCAAAGTATGGTATAATTAAGAAAAGGTGATGTAGTTAGTGAGGTAAGTTAAGTTGCTATGTTTTCTTCTCTTATTGTAAATTAAAATCTTTTGCTACAGGTTCCTCTGAAGAAGTGCCACAACTTGCGTTTAATATGGCTGACCTACAGCAAACCAAAGAGCACTTTGAACGTGGTCTAGACGTACAGCTGAAAAAGCTTGGGCCCGAGCATATTGACGTCGCTACTACGTACAATAACATGGGTGCTGTAGAGTGTGACATAGGCAACCTGCAGCAGGCCAAGGGGTATTATGAACGTGCTCTAGGCATACAGCTGAAAAAGCTTGGGCCCGAGCATATTGACGTTACAAGTACCTACTACAACTTGGGTATTGTACACAATGGCATGGGCAACCTGCAGCAGGCCAAGGAATATTACGAACGTGCTCTAGACATTAGACTGAAAATGCTTGGGCTGGAGCATGCTTACGTTGCGACTATTTACAATAACTTGGGTGTTGTACAGCATGACATGGGCAACCTGCAGCAGGCCAAGGAGTGTTATGAACGTGCTCTAGACATAGAGCTGAAAAAGCTCGGGCCCGAGCATGCTTACGTTGCGACTCCGTACCACAACTTGGGTGTAGTACAGCATAACATGGGCAACCTGCAGCAGGCCAAGGGGCATTATGAACGTGCTCTAGACATAAGACTGAGAAAGCTTGAGCCCGAGCATGCTTACGTTGCGACTTCGTACAATAGCTTGGGTGATGTGCAGCGTGACATGGGTAACCTCCAGCAGGCCAAGGAGTATCATGAACGTGCTCTAGACATTAGACTGAGAAAGCTTGGGCCCGACCATATTGACGTTGCGACTACGTATAATAGCTTGGGTGTAGTACAGGGTGACACTGGCAACCTGCAGCAGGCCAAGGAGAATTTTGAACGTGCTCTAGACATTAGACTGAGAAAGCTTGGGTCCGAGCATATTGACGTTGCGACTACGTACGGTAACTTGGGTGTAGTACAGCGTGACATGGGCAACCTGCAGCAGGCCAAGGAGTATCATGAACGTGCTCTAGAGATAAGGCTGAAAAAGCTTGGGCCCGAGCATATTGACGTAAAACGTACTGACAACATCTTGGGTGCTGTACAGAATGCATTGGAAGACCTGCAGGTGGCCGAAGAATATGATGAACGTACTTCAGGCATTAGGCTAAAAAGCTTGCACCCGCGCGTTTTGACAAGAAACGTACTTACTGACATGCTTCCCTTGGAGGACTTGCAGCAGGCCAAAGAATATCATGAACGCGCTTCAGACAAAAGACTAAAAAAACTTAGTGCTGAAAATGTGGATAACAGCTTTAGTCACTCTCAACTTCATTGTAAACTTGTTTAATGGTCAGTTAAATCACTTCTATGTCTCGAAAAAGTCTTATCTACTGATTGTAAATTCAAGGAAAGATCCTAAAGTACACCACTGAATTGACAAGGCTGCTATGGTAATACGATTGACGTCATTGCTAAGATTATCATGATTATCAAATATAATGGTAGATTATTGTCTCTAATAGTGACCGTCACGCTCTAAAAATTTCCGGCAATACCGAGTCCAAACAAATTCGCTAAAAGTAAATGCCTGCTAAGGTCGCTAAGGTTATACGATTGACGTCATCTGTAATACCAAAGATAACGTTAAATGTTTGTCACGACAACAACAACAACAATAGTTTATTTAACAGGGCACCTAAAATAACTGTAAGAAGTTAAACTACAATGGGCGACATAATTAGTTGACACATTGTTTTTCAATAGCAGTACTTTTAGTGCACCAAATAACACCCCTCTTTCTATCGCGCAATGAACTGTGGAAAAGACCCCGCTCCCCAATTCAATGTTGCTTGTTTATAGTTCAAGATCACAAGAGTTGCCGCACAACATTCTTTGTGGGGGAGGGGGGCTAAAAGGATAAGCTAGGAGGGCAAAAAGGGATCGCGATGACGAAAAGTAGGGGGTTAAAAAGGTGAATGTGTCAACAATTTTGTCGCCGACTGTAGTTAGTTACCCATTAAATAATACAATTATTAAAACCTTTGTTCAAAGTATACATAATTAGGTACAGTGTAATTAATAATGATTGTCACGCATTAAATATTTCCAACAATTCCGAGTACAAAGATTGATTAATATCATTATGATTCTCTGAATGTCAAACAGTAGTAGCTCCGATTCTAGAGATCGAGTAACTTTCTTACTGAAAAATTTGGCATGTAAATGCGCATGAATTCTTTATCGCAAAAGTAGATAGATACCGTAGAATCGTTGACAGGTGGCGTGCAATGTGTAACAAACTTGATTTGAATTAAAAGTTTTTTCTTTCATGTTAAGCGGACAATATCTTTCACGAAAGCGATCGGCAGTAAAACGAAAGTAAATTCTACGCGCGCTCATTTTACCGGGAAAAAATCTGTTCGTTAGGTGTTAAAAAAATTTGGTCTCGCCTTTGTTTTTCACAAGTTTTTAGACGAATACTTCCCCACTACGGACCTCACGCTAGTTCAGTAACACGCAGTATATGGGTTCATGACCAAGTGTGAGGTCAAGATGGCTGGATGTTGGTCAAGTTCTTTTCTTTTTTTTTTTTCCTGTTTATGGACCGAGAAGGAGTCAATGTTCATAGTCTCTCAAAAAAAAAAAAGAACGTGACCAATATCCAGCCGTCTTGACCGAACAAGCTTGGTCAATAAAGGATTTATTGCCTGGCTTTCGGGGTTAATTTTTCTTGCGGGATGCGGCGGATAGTCCCGAGCGGGCAGAATAGTTCCAGAAAAATAAACATACACTTGCTCTGTCACAACAACGAGGAAACCGGCCGCGCACTTGTGGTACATAGCGATGAGCAAAGTGACAAAAATGAAGCTTCTGGTTCTTGTAGTGACTTACAGCTTGGCTGGGCTTTACACATGCAAGTCTCGAGGTCAAGCTGTGCGGTTTACGGATGAGGTTAAACAGTACCTAACCACGAGATTCGACCTCGGAGAGAGAACTGGCAACAAAGCAGATCCCGGAAAAGTGGCTGCAGACATGAGAACATCGTAAGCTTGGTCAATAAAGGATTTATTGCCTGGCTTTCGGGGTTAATTTTTCTTGCGGGATGCGGCGGGTAGTCCCGAGCGGGCAGAATAGTTCCAGAAAAATAAACATACACTTGCTCTGTCACTCAAGAACACTAAAAACGCTATACTTCAGTCACGCTGCTCAATGGAAAGACTCGTGAAAAAAATAAAATCTAGGGGTTTGAAGCTGAATTAAAACCATTTTAATTTGTCTTTACAATGTTTCTCCGTAAAATTCTACCTCTTGGAAAGGGTTTCTCTCGCAGCCTGTTAGGCGTTTAACACCGAGAGATTTTGTTTCAAGTCTAGGATCAGTGTGTGTGGCACAGAAATACTAGTGAGCTGTTTTAATAAAATTATTACCAAGTCATCGAATCTACGTTTTTAAAATTCAATTACTTTTTTATTATTATCAAATGTTTTCAAAGCAGTGCAAGTTGATTTACATTTAGCGACACAAGTCCAGTGTTATATTTTTCGTCTTCTACATGATGTACATTTACAATATGTTGATCAAATCACTTTCTCAACTCCCAGCCTTTGGGTGTAAAAACCCAAACTGCGTAACTATTGTTTAATAACCCAACGTCATAAAAATAAATCCTTTTGTTAAAATGCAATGTCCTTGACATTAAAATGTTTTCTGCGTGCTTTTTTATATGACCTCATCGACCTATTTACACGTTTAACGAGTTGTCAGTCCATAAAGCAATCAAAATTGGAGTTAAAGGTTGTTTTTTAAGTCAGCCACTAAGCGGGTTTGTTCAGCTGAAGAGCACTACCCACTATCTAATACAATAAACTCTCTTCTTAAAAAAAGCCTGTTAAGCTTTACAGCACAGAGTTTCCGGACTTGACAAGTTAAAAACGTCATCGTTAAAGTGCTACTATGACGAAAATCGCATCATTCAACTCTGAGCCATTTTAAGACATAAAGAAGTAGTCTGTACAAAAGTAAAAATACTGTTTACTGTTTTCAAATATCTCTTTTCGTTCCAGAGATATTCAAGTTTTTAAAATATGCAAATTAGCCAAGTGATGACGTCATCCACTCAACCGAATTTTGATCAAATATGATAAACAAGGATATCTCGGTCAATTTGTGTCAGAAATGTTTGACTTTCTAAAGTAAGATTCTGCTAGAGGTGCTCCGCAATATGAGCTTAACAATTATATTTGTTACTATGGCAACATACTGGGTTCCAGACCTCCACGATATTAAAGGCTTTTCTGACCACATTTACCGTTCTGTATTGATATTTGCCAATGGTACCTAATCTGTATGATCCAGCAAGCATATAAATACGATAGGTTGAGTTAATGGCCTGTTTAATGTTTTCCAAGCTTAAAATCACTAAAATATTGAAATCAGGCTACAGAGGACTGAAATAGAGTGGGTTGCCATGGGAACAGAAATTGTTATAGCTGTAGGTGTGTTGCACTTAGAACTATCAACCTATCAAGTTTCAATGGTTTCTGCCGCAAATTGACCATGATAGCGCTATTTATATGCTTGATGTAATATTTGGTTAAGTGTATGATGTCATCAGTCATCTCATTTTCATATTTTAGTTATTTATCAAACTTCAATAACTCCGGAACCAATGTAGATATTTGTAAACGGTAGACGGTGTCTTTAATCTTTCGTAGAATTCTATGTGATTAACCTAAAAAATCACGGGGTAAAAATTTTGATCATAGTAGCACAAGAACCTGACTTTTTCCTCGCGTGACACAATAATTCTCATAATTTCTCTGCATGCAAATGGCTGCCTTCGTTACCGTTACAGCTGGCGTCTCCATTTTAGTTCTCCTTTACAATGTTGTTGGCAACGATCTCGTCATTGCAGTTATTAAGAGAAACAAGACACTACATAATGCAAACACGTGCCTGCTGGCCAAACTCGCGTGTTCGGATTTGTCGTTCGCCGTTTTTACATATTTATACTCTCAGACCAAGTGTCTATTCATTTGCAGAATTCATCTTCCACGCTTTGGTTTCTATTTACATGTTGGTTGCTCTGGAAGTGGAGAGATATTTCGCGATTCTGAAGCGTTTTCTGCACTTGACAAGAGAGGCGAAATCTCTGCTGTGGAAAGTTATTCTCGTAATATGGATCCTCGCTGGTGTTTTGAGTGCGCCGGGATATGCTATCACCTTTTTAAGTGAACAATACGCCTGGAAAAACGCCGCTATCATGAATGGGACAAATGAAATACCCGTTTGTTTGAAAACCTTAACATAAACTACTCTGTGATGATTTCCTGCTATTCTCGGGTCATTTATCACGTCTGGTTCAATACCGAGGCCAACAGAACGAAAAATACTGCTCTTTCACAGACACGACGCAAATTAACAAAACTTTTTATCCTCGTTATCTCATTCATAGTTACTTGGACTCCTACATTTGGAAGACTTATCGTTACACTATTTGTGGATATCAGAGAAGCCTGGAAGTTCGAGTTGTTTTCT